TTATGTGAAGGAGGCATCCTCTGCCGTCTGCATTATCTAGTTACTTGGCTACTAAGAGATTATAATGCGTCAAGTCTGGCCAGGGGTAGTGAACAATGTTAATTCATGGGCTGAGAAAGAGCTAAGGAATGAGAGGAAAGAATCCTGATTTTTCGGGTGGACACAGGATTGCCTCCCCTCTGAGGAAGGAATGAACAGGAAAAGCTGTGTGCAGTTTTAGGAAAAGGTGTTGGAGGCCGGGTACTCTCTTTCTTCCCTTCTTCCTTTCTTCTCTTTGTGTCTACATTGTAGGCCTAATTGCTAAACTGTAATTGGGAACAAAGGCTACAAGACACTGCTGCTATTACTGCAACGCTTTTTATGAGCCACACTGAAACCTGCTGAACCTCCACTGTACTGCCTTTTCCTCCAAATTGCAACTTTCCCTCCGGATTGAAACATTTGCTCCAGAAGGAGAGAGGAGACTTTTCAACTGAGGTTGAAAACTGAGGTGGTAAACAGGAGGTAAATAAAAGGTCATTATCCCAGAACAAAACCTTGGAAGATTATTAGATATTTGAGTGCCCTTGCCAACAGTAAAAGCAGCTGGGGGTGGAGACTGAGCAGACAGACTGTGGAAAGAAAAGAAAGAATGAATGAAAAAGGAAGGGAAGGATGTTGTGGATTGGGAGCTGCCTGCAGGCTGCTTAGAGAGCTCCAGTGTCACGTCCAGTGGGCTTTCCAGAAATACAGTTGCTTTTGACTTATCCCTACTGTTCTCTAAGTAACCCCTCACCTACACTTCTGTTGGAAACCCCAAATGAATACTCATGGGGACACCAAATTGGACATTAGTACAGTCCTTACTTTCTGAGGTGAGCAGAAATGTGTGTGGTGTTTCTCCAGAAAAGTCCATCACACAACAACTTCATCACGGTGCAAAATTTTGTATGTTGCATTGCCTTTAGCAGGAACTATTTCCTAATGTGTACTGGCAATATGAATCTCTTCTGTACACCCGTTTTCAATGTTTTAAATAAAAATTTGTGATGTTTGGGACTTTATTGTGCTTATTGATTTGACAAGAATCTTTTGGTCAGGAGAGTTTAATTGTTATTAAGATTTTAAATTTTTTTCTTTTAGTTAGATATTCTGATTTTTAACATTTCGAGATTCTCTTCATTTGGTAAATGCTGATTTTCCTCTGATTAAATGGCACTAGAGCCAACTCCTTCTAATGTACTGGATTAAACTTCTTCTCAAAAGCACCATTCTAGTATGCCTGGAGCTACTTTGTATAAAGTGTCTGTGCTCCTTAGTCATCTGCTTTTGTCTTTTCTCCAACAAGGAGTTCAGTACAATTGTGTAGGGAAAAAAAAAAGATACAGAACTTCCTTTACTTTCATAGAAGACTCACCTGAGAAAATATAGGCAAGATCATAGATTTCCTAGTTCTGGGTGGAGGTTTGCATCTTAACCAAACATAAAAGATTATGCTTATCATATTAAAGGTGACTTAGGAGCATAATGTTTGAGCTTAAAATGTGGAGAGCTATTATGAAACACTGCAATGTTGACACACAGTTAAGCTATATAAATAACCAATTCTCATCTTTTCAATGCCTTTTAAAACCATCAGTTGTTTCTACTCACCTCTTCTCCTTTTCACCTCACTATTATGATCTTTGACATTTTTGTTTATTTTTGGTCAAGTCCTCTTATGTGAGCAGTTTTCAGTTATTTGTTTAAGGGACTATCCCTAGTTTCTCGGTGAGATGTTCCACATTTTGATAAACACATTACTTACAGACTTCTTAGTTATATCCATGAGTTATTTATATTTAACTTTCTAGTGTCCTCATTAATAATATTTAATATCTTTGATTTACTTTATATCTAATACATCTAAAAATATTCTTTTACTTTTTTATATATTCCCATCAAGCATATGGTAAATAGAAACTGAGTTGTTTCCATTCTACCTACTTTACAACTAAGAGTCTCTTGTCACAATTTACTAGTTTATTTTCTGTGAAGCTATTTGTTTAAGTTAAAAGTGAATCCAGATGTCAATTTTTATTTAATTACTCATGGGAGCTTGTAGCTGTCCTGTATTAAGGAAATTCAAGCAGTCATACTTGAGCCTATGAAAATCTACTTCGTTAGAATTCAGCCATTAAATATCTTTGGCTTTCTATTCCCCACCCAAAGGAATTATTATATATGCAAAGAACTATGGATACAGTTAATTTTTTTTTTCTAATACAGAAAACCAAAGCTTGGAGTTTACCTTTAAGATAGCTCTTTATAATCTGAGAGGATATAGGGACAAGCAGCTCATTATGTAAAAAGAGCCAGAGATAAGCAGAATGAACTAGGCACTGTGGTAGAGGTACTACTACCCACGTGCTGTGGGAGTTAGTCACACTTTTGTTCCTGTGACAACATACCTAGAAAAGCAACCTCATGGGAGGGAAGGTTTATTTTGGCTTACAGTCTGAGGCCTCAGTCCGTGTTTAATTGGTTCTGTTGTTTTTGGTATCTATGGTACAGAACAATACTTGTGCCTGTGTGGCAAAGCAAAGCTGTTCATCTCACAGTGACTGGGAAGCAGAAGTCGAGGTGTGTGTGTGTGTGTGGGGGGGTGTCCCTAAATCCTCTCCAAAGTCACACCCTCAAGGTTCGAACATCCTTATAGCAGGCCCAACCCCTTAAAAGTTCTCCTGCCTCTCAATAGCAACAGTGGCTGGGGACCAGACTTGAACATAAAGACCTTTGGTGGACACTTAGTATTCCAATCTCAACAGAGAAGATAATGGATGCTGTGTGTGTGTGTGTGTGTGTGTGTGTGTGTGTGTGTGTGTGTGTGTGTGTGTGACGTGTCATACGTTTCAAGAACTTATTTTCTCACCTTGAGATAGATAAGAAAAGGCTTCTTGTGATTTGAGCTTTGAATGCAATTCTGATAATCACTTGTGGTGGCGACGATCACCTAATTATGATGAACTTTAGATTCTACAGATGTGCTGAGGTTGAAGTTATGAATTTATGAAGTTACGGATTCTCATAGGAAGTTAGATCGTTTTGAAGTTATACAACCTCATGCCACTTCCGAGACTTGAGTAGGGAATCGATGTACTTGTTGGGTTCATACAGTATATCTCAATTACTAGAGTGTACTGGTATAGAAAATGCCTCCTTAGTCATTTGAAGTAATGGAATTTTATTGCAGAAAAAAAGGAAACAATTATACGCTCAGCCATTTCATTTACAAATCATCTCAAAGAGGTGCAATAGTTGACGAAGGTCACCTGAGCAAACTTTATCACAGCAGAAAGCATGGAGTTAGAGTCAAGACAGTTTTCTATATGTTTTATGGTAATATTTATTGATATGAAATAAAAACCATTGAATTCCCATGCTCCATTTTTTTCGGAGAAAGATGCTTTCAGTATTGCTGTGAACTTGTACCCTGTGGTAAGTTTGAAGGCACATAAAATGGACCAAAGGCAGGAAATGCTTTAGAAGTAGACACCCGCATAAGGACCACGTGGAGTAATCTGCACCTGTAAAAAAGACACTGGCAGAACTCCCAGCCTGGTACCTCAGTCACCTCCAGCTGAGTGGGGGAGGAAGACAAGAGAGCAGGAGGGAGGCGGGGGAGAGTGAAGAGATAAGAGTGGAGAGAGAGAGAATGGGGGGGGGGGAGAGGAAAGGGAGAGTGGAGAAAGAGAAAGGAGAGGAAGAGAGAGAGAGAGAGCGAGAGATGGAGACATGCTCCTAGCCAGGAGAGAGGTACCCTTTGTCTGACAAACCCTGCCAGGGAAGCCTCCTGTAGCCGCCCCGCGGTTCCCACCTCCAAGCATCTGCGGAGCGGCTAGGTGGAGCCCGCGCCCGCGGAGCCCTGGCGGACTCCAGATCCGGGTTTTGCCGGCCACCCCTTTCTCCGGCTGGAGAGCCCCCCTCCCCGGTCCTGGGAGCTCTCGCGCCCGTCGCCCCGCCGGTGGTGGCTCACTCCGGCCTCGGCTGCCTCGGCCGCCGCTCGCACCCCTGCCTGACTGCGGGGCGCGCCGCCCCACTAGCCTGCTCGGCCCGCAGCGCGCTCGCTTT